CATACATAACCACCGACAAAAGCAGACGTGTTTCACTGACTATTACAATCCCGTATGCTCATCCCTTGATCCAATGAATATTGTGTTCATAACCGATTTTTATAGGTTAAATTTTTTTTTATCAAACTCATTAGGTCCTCATCTCTCCCGGTTAGGAGTGATTTTCAAATAAACGACACTTTTTCTTCTAATTTTATCTCCATGGGGCATTGTTTTACATTTTAACCGGAGGTGGAAGAAAGCGAGCAAATGGGTATAGGTTCAAACCAGTAGCAAGAAATTCCAAGCAACAAGTAGCAGATTTCTTCATTTTTGTTTTCGCAAAGTTTGAACTTCTTTCGATGTCGATTCCTATCTATTTTCATTCGTTGCACTGATTTTTTTTTCGCTAAGTCACCATTTCACTCAATCATGAAAACGAATCTACGTCTCATATATGTATGTGTTTTGTCGATTGTTGATTGCGTTGAAACGAAATCATGACAAATTATTTTCGCAACGATTCAATCAATATGAATGAATTTCCACTCAACAAACAAGCCGCATGTTTATCAGTATTTCTATGAAAATGCATTTCATGGTGATAATAATGCATAGAGGATTTCAATGTTAACAACAGCTCTACATTTCCCTATAAATGCGCATGCATTTTCAAAAAGTTTTCAATCGTATCGAAGACTTGCTTCAAAACGTTTAAGATTTCCAATTCGAACTAAAATCATCAAGCTATTTAATTTTTTGAAATCAAAACTAAGCAATTAAGATGAAGTTTGCATTGTGTTTATTCTTGGCCTGTTTGAGTGTTAGCTACGCCAGCTCAAATAATTGGAAGGACATAACAACGAGAGTAAGGATTTTCCTTGGATGATAATTAAAATTGGTGTGATTTTTATCTAAAATTGTATTAAATTATTCAGCGTGAGCTTCTCAGAGAGGTCAGAGATGCGGAAGACAAACTTATGGTAGTAGAATTTCACTACACATGGTGTGGATTTACCACGAATATAGAATCAGCCTTGAATAAATCGGCTCTTAAATATCCGGACGTTGTGTTTCTCAAGGTACCTTTGAAAATGTGACAAAAATCAAAAATTGGTACACCTAACGCTTGTTTTTCTTCGCTTCAATTCATTTCAGGTGGATATTGAGAAAAGCGAGAGATTGAGACGACGATACAGAGTCACGGCTTCACCAACTTTCATTTATTTCAAAAATGGAAAAAAACTGACCAAATTCGCCGATGCTAATGTATCGAGATTTGAAAGTGTTCTTAACCAATATTCGAACAACGAACAACTCCAACAGTTGAATTCAACCTCAACCCTTGAATATAGTAGGAATACAACAGATATTGTAGTTTGAATTGATTCATACATTTTATACATTAAATCAAATAAATTGTCGAAAAATCACTTTTAAAAGACTAGATATTTAATTTGCGAGTATTTTTGAAGCTAAACAATCAGTGTTAGTCATCGGCAGTAACGGCAACGTCGATTGTTGCAAAAGGACTCTGAATTTTCTTCTTTCGGAATAATTGGATAAAGAGCGATATATTCGCGAATCATTTTAGCTACTTCGGTTGTGCAATGACAAACAATTGGTTTGGATTCATTGGCTTATTCTTAGGTAGACAATGAAAGCTTATTTATATTTCGAATTCTACGATCATTAATTGAACATTTTGAACTGACAGATTCACGTCGAGAGCTGCGTCTAAGCCAAACTACATGCTATTGGCGCCACACTGAAATACATTTGATTTGCATTGTACACGTAAGCGGTCGGAGTTCGAACTATCAAATTACAACAACAAATTACACAGATAGGCGCATCCCTCGATTCACGTAAGCCACTAGGTTTAGTTATTTTTGGAAATGATTGGCAGGTGATTTCAGATGCACTTTATTCTGTGGAAGTCCCTTCAA